GGACGTTAGGAAGAGGAGTGTACTTTAGAGTATATAGCTTGAGCCTGCGGCCCTTCACGCCATATACCCTTCGGGAGGTCGGCCGCAAGGGCGGTTGCGCCCTTGCCGCCTCGGCGTTAAATACAACAACAACAACAAATCATGTCAAGCCTACGGCGTAGGTATGTACTTCAATGACCCCTCTGATATGTACACGACTCAGATAAGAGGTATCTAGAACACCGAGAATTGTTGTTCAGAGAGCTGGAATTCTTCATGAAAACATCCGAAGTAGAACAGAAGCGTAGACTGAGCCCTGATCTGCCTTCAGTAGAGGAGTATGTTGAGACAAGGATGGGAACGAGCGCTGTCAATGTCACCAGCTTCTTCAACGAGTGAGTTGCATAAGTCCAGGAGGATGTCTTGACTCTCACATCAGAAGGTACGCGTACAGAGTATCGCTACCAATCAAGGTACTCACCGACCCTTACATGAAAGTCGTATGGGACAAGACGAATATCATAATATGGGCGTAAGTTGAGACAGCTCACAAATTGTTCCCACTCGCTAACCTACATCACGCAGCACGAACGATCTGCTGTCCCTAAAGAAGGAAGTGGTTAGTTTGTTATCATTTGAGGACATGGAGGGATGGAAGCCAAACTAACACCAGAATCGTAGGGTCAACAAACAGTAGACAGCATCGTTCCACTCCTGTTTCGCGAGTTCTGCAGCTTGGACTTGGCCGTCTCGATGGTCGTGGAGACGATTGAGAAGGCCGTTGAGGACTTTGATCACGCTGCTTACATCCTTACTGAACGATACTCTGGCGACGAATCTCTGATTGGCAATCTCAAGACGTACATCAACGCATGCAGACTCAACTGTACAGGCAACGGTCGGTACGGCGTATCTAAGCACACATTTGCAGGTGGTGTCATGATGCGTCTGGAATAAGATGTGGCAATCAGCAGACGCCGCTAGGTTTTGAACTGGGCTCCGAGATTGACAACGTTATTGGGTGCTTACGAATCATTTGATGTCATCATGCTTGAAGTCTGCTTACACACCCATCATAAGAGTGAAAGATGAAAGCCAGCGGATCTCTCGACTTCAACAAAATCAACCTTCTTCCTGTTTACATTTTCTGACAATACCTAAGACCTTGATGCTTCAATAAGCCCGTCCATCAACCGTATCTGAAATGTCACAATCTCTGCCTAAGACCACCAAGCAGTGGTACGTTGTAGACGAAGGCGGACTTGCTTCGCTCCGATTCCGCGAACAGCCCGTACCTGATCTGGGAGATAACGAAGTCCTCGTAAAATGTGAGCTTGCACTGGACCCAAATCTCGACAATTGCTGACATGAATGGCGAAGTACATGGCGCTGCTATAAATGTAGGCCTCGCCACAATGTCTCAACGACTTTCAATCCGCTAACACGATATGTCGTAGTTTCGTGACCTAGTCATCCACCAAGGGAAATATCCGTGGCATGTCAAACCCAACGTCATCCCTGGGTCAGACGGAGCTGGTGTTGTTCTGGCCGTCGGCAAACACGTGATTCGATTTCAACCAGGAGATAAAGTTATCACAGTCCTCAATCAGACACACGCTGCAGGGTCACCCGACATCCTAACGTCAAAGTTCGGGCTAGGCGCTGGGGTTGACGGTACCTTTCGCACCGTCGGAGTGTTCAACGAGCAAGGACTGGTGACAATGCCTGAAGGGATAAACTTCATTGAAGCTGCCTCTCTGAGCTGCGCCGGGGTGACGGCTTGGAACGCTCTGTTTGGACTTGAGGGAAAGAAGGTTTCCGCAGGACAATGGATCCTCACTCAGGGCACTGGGGGCGTCAGTCTGTTCGCCGTGCAGTTCGCCAAAGCAGTTGGCGCGAGGGTCATCGCCACTACTAGCTCTGATGAAAAGGCAGAAATACTCAAAAGGCTCGGTGCTGACCATATCATTAACTATCGGAACACGACAGACTGGGGCGTGGCTGCAAAGCGGTTGACAGGAGGTGTTGGGGTCGACCTTGTTGTCGAAATTGCTGGAAATAGCACATTGAAGCAGAGCGTCGCCAGTTTAAAGCTTGACGGCACCGTCGTGACTGCCGGTTTTGCTGGAGGCGATGGCCAAGACCAAGGTCTGCCAACTTTGCTGGACAGTTGGCTCAGTTTGTTCACCGCTCGAGGAGTGTGGGTTGGTAGCAGGCTTCAGATGGAGGAGATGTGCAAGGCGGTTGAAGCCAATCCAGACAAGCTACGGCCTGTTATTGATCCCAAAATCTTCAAATTAGAAGATCTGGAGTTGGCATATCAATACCTACAAACCGGAAGGCATCAGGGCAAAGTCGGTATTGACATCTCCTGAGCTAGGTGTATCCATCAAGATAGGCATCATTCGTCCTTGGAGTTATCTAATTGAGGAAAGTCATATAACAATGTCTTATGCCTTATTCATCCTCGGATGTCGTGATAGTACATTTGACGACTCCCGCATCTGAAAGACCCAACGTAAGTCTCGTCCTAATTGAATTGACACAAAAGTGATTGCGCTGAAAAAGTTAAACATAGTTGTTTTGTTGAGCACGTGTAAGGAAGTTGCACTACAAACAATTATCTCGTCTACTTTGTCCGTCACTGAGCAAATCATGACAAGTTGAACTGATGTCCGAGCCAAATCAGCAGAAGCCTCCCTTCTGCGGCCAAAGATCCGGGTTAGCAATAAAACTCCCCGCAATAAGGAAAGTCTATTAAATGGGAGTCATAACAGCTATAGAACCGATCTTATGCTCATCGTTTTCAATTAAAGTAAAGTCAATGCAGGTACCAGACACTCCTTTTAACCTTGATTGAGTTATGAATTGTTTCTTTCCGCCTCCCGTGGCAATTAAACTGAAGCGGTGCTGCTTCACCATCTAGAAGCTCGTTTATCTGCCGCGAATGGTTTTCGTCAATGGACTCAACTGCAAGAATCCACTCCTGTCTGCAAAAAAACCGTCTCATGTCAAACAACACTGCTCCGGTAGTGCTGCTGCAACCGTGTCCGAGTTCATCGCACCCTGAAGTTTTCTCACGAGTCGCATCAAGCTTCTGCCCGAGAGCATTTCGTCATTAATCAGTGCTGCGGACCGAATTGCGCTTACAACAGTGCATAAGGGGAAACTTGAACAGATGTTGAACATTTCCGGCGAAACGAAACATCTCGCGAGTAAGGTTTCAAAAGATGAGGCCATCACGGGACGAAACTGAAATGCAGCATGTGTCCGCCCAAAGTCAATGCCTCTCCCGACCAATCACTGGGCAGAGATTTCGGCCGTTGAGCATTCCGATACCTTACAAGCGCCATGTGGGAGAAACTCTGAAAAGTTTGGCGCAAACTTCATTAGACGACCGATTATCTCATCATCATGAAAGCAATGGTGTGTTCGTGTGAATCGCGTGGGAGCAACGGCGTTGCTCAAAACGGACTTCCAAGAACTGAGTTCGGCTTCGCGGCTTCTAGCGAGTGTCACATTGATTGAGCATTCGTGGAAACAGATGGGAGAACCCTGCATCTCCAGGCCGTTGGCGTTGGTTTGACTTACGCGCCCCCCTGACTCAAAGAGATTAGTTTGGTGGAGACTCTGAGAAATAAAGGGTGTGATATAATGGCGGCGAACACATAATTCCTCCGCAAATCAACATGGCCTCCAATGACAGCCTGCTGCTGGGAGACGCGTTTCTGATTGACATGAAACACCGTCATTTGAAGGATTTCGACCCGCAACCCCATAATATTCTTCCTTTGAGAACGAGCACCGACGGGAATAAACTCATGACACTCAACGGCGAGCGCACTAACCAAACCTTCATTGATCGAATCGAGCTAGTTGGCGCACATGGGTCTTTTCCATTGAATCCGTATGGCTCGGAGACACTTTACCGAATGAGGCTCGAATGATCCACCGGCCCTTGCTATGAGGCCATGCTCGTCAGTCTCAATGTGTCTTGATCACCCGTTCGGACGGAGGAGGGTCTGCAAAGCTCCTCCAATCATTCAGATCAAACGTTCTCGCTGTAACGCTGTCGTAAATTGGATCTGAAGAATATATAAAACATTACCTTGGCGCCTACTTGGCGATCGTTCTTCAGCCAGTCTCACCATCGTTCGCTGCTCCATTTCATACTCAATCTCACTCTTTTTCTCCACGCCAAGATGGCCAAGTTTCTTGCCCCTGCTGCGGCTCTGCTGCCCGTCGTGCTGGTAGCGGCGATTCCCGTCTCCAACTCCGTAAGCTGAGCCCCGCTGTTTCGTCCGATCGCAGCCCATTTCGCGACATTCAGACTGACCCGATTTTGCCCCTTTTAGACCGGCTGCACCGTTACCAAATTCGAGGATATCGCGACCGCCGTCTCGTCATGCACCGACATCACGCTCTCTAACATTGCTGCCCCGGCGGCCAGCCCCATCGATCTCCAGAAGCTGAAGAAGGGCACTAAGGTTACTTTCGACGGCACAACCACCTTCGCCACGACTGTCGACTCCAGCTTCGACCCTATCATAATCTCTGGAACCGACATCACAATTACTGGCGCACCCGGCCACGTAATTGAGGGCAATGGCGCTGCTTACTGGGACGGCCTGGGTTCCAACGGTGGCGGTGACAAGTGAGTGCAAACACTCTGGCAGAAATGAGATACGTGAAGCTAATGCGCCCGAATCAGGCCCAACCACTTCGTTGTTGTCAAGAAGACCAGCAACGCAAAGATCACCGGCCTGAACATCAAGAACTGGCCTGTCCACTGCTTCTCCATGACCGGCAACCAGAACCTTGTTGTATCCGATCTGATCCTTGACAACTCCGCCGGCGATGTGCCCAACAACAAGAGCGGTACCAAGGCTGCAGCCCACAACAGTGACGGTTTCGACATTTCCTCCAGCGACTATGTCACCCTCGACAACATCAAGGTTCACAACCAAGATGACTGTGTTGCTGTCACCAGTGGCACCCACGTCACCGTCAACAACATGTACTGCTACGGAGGTCACGGCCTCAGCATCGGCTCCATTGGCGGCAAGAGCAACAACACTGTCGATAACGTCGTCTTCTCCAACTCTCAAATCATTAAGAGCTCAAATGGCTGCCGCATCAAGTCCAACTCCGGCACCACTGGCTCCGTCACCAACATCACTTACAAGAACATCACCCTCACCGACATCGACACCTACGGCATTGATGTCCAGCAGGACTACCTCAACGGCGGCCCGACCGGTTCGCCTACCAACGGCGTCAACATCAGCAGCATCCACTTCGTCGATGTTCAGGGTACTGCTACCGGTAGCGACGCCTACAACTACTACATTCTTTGCGGTGATGGCAGCTGCTCTGACATCACCTTCGAGAACACCAAGATCACCGGAGGTGGCAAGGGCGGCAGCTGCAACTTCCCCGCCAGCGGATGCCCCGCATAAGCGCTATTTGGGCGCTTCTTTTCCTCGTAAATATTTCATGAAGTGTATACGTATAAAGACCATCACGTCATTGGGAGGCCAGGCCTCTAGGTCATGAGTAGCCGGCATATATAGACCGAACAATACCAAGTATATAACTTTATTACGATAAAATCTCATGGTGGGCAACCATTTGCGCACATTCTCACCCAAATTCTCCGGAACGTTGGTGACCAACTCGTATTGTCTCACTTCATTTAACCGATCAATACCTGGAGTTTGGGGGGCAACCAGCTGCTTTGGAACCCTTGACAGCTTTGAAGTGGTCGTTCGATCTCTTTCAGTATGCCCCAAACTCTTACCCATTAGTCAACTGAAAAAACCTCTTAACATGCATAAAGCTGTTCCCAGGGTATAACCCGAGTGGGTTGACACACGGATAAGCAGAATTTGAGGCGCCGGTTCTCACATTTGATTCTACCTCGCAGTCGCTACATGCTGCTCAACGGTATCCCGGAGCGCGCTCACATCCCTAATCCTCTCGGCCCCCATTCAATCTCCAGCTACCACAGTACGTCATCAGCAGGAAAGGCACATGCAGACACAAGCTGATCTAAATGTCTCTCCCCTACGACCTCCATCCCAATCCTACTTTAAAACCCCACACGGAACCGGAATCGACCAGTTCGTACTCCGACTCAAATAAAGTTGATGCCGCTCGGTGTCTTGTATAGAGCGATAATCGCATACTTTACTGAGTTCCGAGTTGGCTACCATTTGCTCTTGAGGCTTCTGTCGTGTAGAACTCGGGCAGCAAAGATTATGGCGCCTCCCCCGAGAAGACAGCACCCCTGAAAATAGGTATCTCATCAGCAAACCTGCAAAGCTGAGCCAATTGAACAAAGGAGGTAAAAATGACTTACAGCAAAAATGATAAGAGGATGATACCCAGTCCTGGTGTCGCTCTGAATCAAGGCCCCAGCTATCGGACTGCCCGTCAGGACAGCCATGGCGGTAACGGTACCAAATGCTCCAAGCCTGGCTCCGAGCTTTTCGGTGGGAATGATTTGCCCGGTGGCAGCAGGCATGACTGATATAAAGACTCCAGACGCAAAGCCGTAGAGACAAGCGAATGCAACGAGTACCCCAGGCGTCGTTGCAGGAAGCCACATGACCACACACAACAGTCCGCAAAGAATAATAATCGGATACAGAAAGTTTAGCCGGCCAATGCGGTCCGCTGCATATCCACCGCTGCTAGAGTCAGAAGGCGTCCATAGTTCAAGCGGGTACGCATAGCCCAGGGAGAGGGTACACACATAATACGTCCGAAAAGACTCGATGCGTTGATGAGGGGCAGTAGGTACGACCGAACCTTTGAGTTCGGATCGAGGGCGACACAAAATGGCTCTGCAAACCGTTAGATACAGATCCTACGCGAAGACCTGGGGCATAAACACAAACTCTGAGACTCACCTATGTAGTAAAACGGGACATACACGCCCAGGCTTGCGATGACTGCTCCAGCCGAGAGACATGAGTAGCGTATATCTAAGAAGCCCCTGTAATCAAGCAAGCTTCCGAGAGATTTCAGCTTCCCCTTTGGCTGCTTTGAAGAGGACACGACTATGGCCAAGCCGTAACAGGTCAGCAGAATCACGGCGCCAACACGGAGTGCCCACGCAAAGCCAATCTGGGGGATGAGTCTCGAAAACATGATCGGGAGGCAAACGCCGCCCAGACTGCTGCCAGATGCCACAATGCCCATGGCCATGGCACGCTTTCGGTGGAAATATTGTCCTGCTACGGTGAGAGCCGGCTAAGTATTCCAGGTTAGTACGTTTTAGAGCTTGTATTACTGCAAATGAAGCTCCTCAACCAGCAGTCCTGGCGAATGAATAAGATGCGACCCACCTGAACTCCGTAGGCAACAGTGAGGCCAAAAAGGAGAGATTGAGCCAAGAACTGCTGCCAAATCGCGTTGGGCTGAGTGAAAGATGTTGCAAGCATAGAGCCAGCGCCCCCGATCGCGGCAAACAGGTAGAGCCACTGAGTAAAGTTTAGCGTCTTCATGGCACCCATCCCAAGTTCCAATGAAGTAACTTACTTTGGGACCGTAAAGATCAAACAGTGCTCCAGCGACCGAGCCCGAGAGGTACATCAGCGTGATTTGCAGCGTGCCAATGAAGGAGATGGCGGTCGGCGAGTAATTCTTCAGATATTCTTGCTGGTAAAAAGTCTGGAAGAAACCGAAGCTGTTCACGACGCCAAAGGATGCGAAGTAAACCAAGAAGGAGCCGGTAACTGCGAGCCATGCCTGCGTGCCTCCCTCCGGATACACCTCTTCTTGTGCGGGCGAGAAAACTCCATCTTGGGTTCCAGAGATGTTCTCAGGGTCGGATGGAACGATGGAGTTGTGCTTCTCGGACCGAGACTGACCTGATAGAGTGTTACCCGCCATGGTTCACAACGTGAACTGGCTTGTCAAATAAGGTTTGGTTGGCAAATGTGCTTACAGCGAGGATGATGTGGCGACCGTAACGATACGGTCGGTAGTGATTGTTGATGGTGTTTGCGACAAACCTTCGCTCGAATCTTATGGAGGAGAGTGGTGTTTGTGACCAGGGAACTTCGTCGGGGGCACGCCTGTGGGCGAAAGGATATATATACCTTATTTCCCTGTGGGCTTGCACGATCCTCCTTTTCCGAATTGGGACACATTTTCCCTGCAAAAGTTCCTTCGCGCCGTCCGGCGATATCGGGTCGCTCTCCACAGCTTGGCAAACTAGCCAATTGGTATTAAAGTCGGAGCTCCCAACTGAGTGCTGGGTTCTTTATCGCATTGTTTTCTCCGCATCCTCAATCTCAGCGCTATCACAGTGATGAACACCTCCCAGGCTACACAACAGTCACCCAGTAAACCTGTTAGACGCCTTGCATTGAATGTAAACGTCCCCCTGTATTCCAGATGCACATGGTACCGCGCCTGACGCTCTGAAGGCATGTGCATCCTGCCGCGAGAGAAAGACAAGATGTAACGAAGCGAAGCCTTCTTGTGATCGGTGCAAGAGACTGGGACTGGCGTGCGCATATGTGGAGAGCGTCGCATCCAAGTGAGATCCAGCAGTGTTGATCGTTCTAGTCAAAGTTTTCTCATGAACTCTCCGTGACAACGGCAAACCAAGGAGTTGGACCACTCAGCGATCGCAGCCATCCAAGTTCTACGACACAACCTCCGAATACCCCAGATCCAGTCAGCCCCATCAGCGCCTTCACGCCCTCAAGGCTCGGGTCGGTTCAGATTCGTCAGGAACTGGCGATACCAGAGCGTCACTGCACAGCGCCACAGCATTTACTAACATGGTCGTGCTCTCCCTTGACACTAAACGACCGTGAGCTGCGATACCCAGTCGACCTTGAAAGCAAGCAAGCCAGACTAAGAAAGACCACTGCTGCACCAGTTTGTCTGTCGCAGAGCATGAGCGAAGTGAGCAGCAGCTGGCTATCTACCATATCCTTATCTCAACTCCGTGACCTAGCCAACCTCTATTTCACTCACTTTCACCCCCAATGTCTCATTCTTGAAGTGGACAATTTCTACCATCATCATCTTAGTCGGACCCTGAGAGTCGGTTTTGATGACAGTTTAAGCAGCTGCGTTGTACTCCTAGTACTTTCCCTTGGTTCTGTTGTCGCATGCCAGACTGATGGCAGAGAGTGGGCCCAGTCAGATTCTGCTACTGAGATGCTTGAGTTCGAGGCTGGTCTCAGCTTCTTCAACCTAGCTTGCAACATATTTCGTGATGTTGAAGATGTTAGCTGGGAAAGCGTGCAGTGTCTTCTGCTGATCGCGTAAGCATCACTCCATGCGTTCTGAATCCTGCAACTAACACAAAGAGTCTTTACAACTCATCCAAACTCAGAGTTTACGACCATTGGCGTTTCATTAACAAGGCCTGTTCGACTGTGATAATCTTGTTGCCTCTGTATGTTGACTCATTTAAAACTTCATGGGCATTGTCTAAACAAAGGTTTGACAGAGAGGAAAAGCTGCAAGCTCACCATTGCCAGCTCTACTGGATTGCGTACCTACAAGAAAGGTAAGTACCTCGGCTGCGCTTGTTGATATCATAAAAGCTGACAACATGTCAGTCAAATACTCGTCGAGTTTGAATTCCACTCGAGCGGTCTTAGTGGGCTTTGAAAGCTCCGTTCCGTTGCCGCTTCTCCCAGATCCTGGGATCGACCCCCGGCAAAAGGAGTACCAATTCTTCTTGCTTGCCCTCGTTTCAATGAGAAGACTTCTTAATAGGATTCACTCCCATTTGTACAATCAAGGTGACTTGAGAAAACTCCGCGATGCAGATCGATACTGATTTTGACTGATAATGCAGAGCGGCTTGTGACTCCAACTCCCTCCGTGCTCTACGAACTCAACCGGCAGATTGAGGAGTGGAAACAATGTCTTCCCTCTTCGTTTCAGTTCTCGGATTTAATACTATCGAATGAAGTCCGAATTGCTTCTCAAACCGACAAGCGCAGTATGCAAGAGAGGCTCAAGGGCCACTTGAAGGCCCGTTATAATGCCGCCAAAACCATACTCTACCGACCTCATGTTCACAGGGTGATACACAGCTCTAGAATAGATGCCTCGGATTACGAAGTAGAATGTGCTAAAACTGCTATTGCTTCGGCGCTGATAGGAATTCTTCACGGCGGGATAATGCACGAACCTTTCCAGCTTCTCCTATTTCCCATTAACTCCTGGAGAACGTAAGTTACCGCCTCGATTTGAACGTTCTGGAGACATCTGACAAATCTAAAAACGCTATTTGCAATAAGGATTCAGATACAAATGATTCAGAGAACGGAGGTTTCGGGATTGGCAGCGGCCTTGCTGCCAGATGGCTGGGAAGTAATTGATCGAGTCCAGGCAATCATTGTTGACGCGGCATCTCCTTTTTCACCGACAATCACTAGGGATTATGAGATTATTCAGAGTCTCGTAGAAGTATAAGTATGTGTACCCTTCTGTCATATGTTCACTCTTGATGCGTCCAGCATTCTACTTCAATATCATATTTTCCTCCAACTTAATGAACCCACTGGGTTGCGGCCTTCGAGCGAAACTCTGCCACCAGCCCTTTATCCTTTGAGTCCTTCGCCGCAGAAACCATAAACACGGCACTTTCTTCAATTACCCATTTCTGAACGCTGTCGTCCCAGTAGGAGATACTCACCCGATCCAGTGTAGCCCGAGCAGTGGCAGTCTCCCCAGGACGCACAAACACCTTGTCCCACCCCTTCAGCTCCCTCAGAGGTCGGCCGAGTCTCGGCTTGGACACCGGGCTCACGTAAAACTGCACTACTTCCTTGCCGTTAACATCCCCGGTGTTGGTCACGTCAACCTGGACCTCAATCGTTCCGTCCACAGCGAGAGAATCGCTGCTCAGCCTGATGTTAGAGTATGCAAATTTCGTGTACGAGAGACCATATCCGAAGGGGAATAACGGCTCAATCTTGCGATGGTCATAGAATCGGTAACCAAGGTAGATGTTCTCACCAAAGTGAACCACATCATTCTCTCCGGGGTAGTTGTCAAACGAGGGTGTGTCCTCAATGCGGCGGGGGAATGTAATCGGTAACTTCCCACAAGTATTGGTGGTCCCCAGAAGAATGTCGGCAATACAGTTGCCCTGCTCCTGTCCTTGGTACCAGGCCTGAACAATGGCTGGCATCTCATTGGCCCAGGGCATTGTGATTGGGCTACCTGTCTGATTGATGACGATGGTCCTGGGATTCGCTCTCACTACAGCCCGCACCAACTCGTTGGATTGCCCTGGTAGATCCATTGATACCATGTCGCTTGTTTCCGTCTCCCATTCGTGATCTTTCCCAACAACTACGACTGCTATGTCGCTGCGGCTGGCGAGGTCAACGGTATCTTGTAGCATGGCACCGAGATCGCCAGGGTTCTCCAGGAATCCAACTCGACCACCGTCTTGGACCTCCTCACGTTCAAGCATGCCCGTGTACGTCATGTCGTACGGCTTAGGCTCGCGACTGATGGACTCAAGGACAAGCTCGTATGAATGTCCGGCCTTCAGCTCCACTTCAACGCGTTCTTCAGGTGAGCCGTAGCTCATGAAAAGAGACGACTTGGGCGACCACCACCGGCGTTCATTGTCGACAATAACCTTTCCGTCGAGTATGAGCTTCCCGGGCCCGCAGCTGGAAAGCGAAAACTGATGTACTCCAGTGGTTTTCGGCGTCAGAATCGTCTCGGCGCGGTAGGAGTACCTTTCCCCAGTCGTTAACTCTGGTGGTAGCCCGTCGTAACAAACCAGGTTCGAACTCGGTCGGTGCTCAGTCATGAAAGGCTTGCCCTCGTGCTTTATGTTTCTCCAAAGCGACAGTACGAATCCAGGCGAGCCGGTTTCCGGGTTTCTCATCACCGACGGCTCGAGAAGAGGGAGATAACGGTGCGTGAGTATGCCTGGCTTTGTCACGACTTGCGCAGTCGGATAAATGCTAGAGACCTCCTTGTTGAAAGAGCCGAATGGTGTAGTACGGTGGTGAGGTGAGAGATTCGAGCTCCCCCCTCCAGTCGCAACGGACCTTTTTGCGTTGGGGCCGATGAAAGCTATGGTCTTTCCATCAAGATCCTTCAACGGAAGAATATCACCCTCGTTCTTCAACAGGACAATGCCTGTAGACCTGTTAACGCAATCCTTTCTGGATGACCGATGGTTTCTGGAGTAGACTCACCTTCGGCGCCGGCGCGGCGCAAGATTGCCCGATGCTCGGGGAGATCGATGGCCTGCTCAGGTCCTTCTTTCCAGTCGGGAATTTTGCTCTTCCCAGTCTTATGGACAAGCTCGAGAACCCTAGTTGCGGAAGCATCGATGAAGGAGCTGTCGACTAGGCCTTGCCGGTGAGCTTCAAGAAGGTGCCTGCCCCGCCTCCTCACAGGCCCCGGCATTTCAAGATTCAGACTGCAATGATCCGTAAGCTTCGTGAACATCCTTGAGATTTCCCAGATGACGTACCCAGCTGTAAGAGAGGGAACAACGCTATTGGTCCCAAACCAGTCACTCATAACGAGTCCGTCCCAACCCCACTCGCCACGGAGGATATCTCTGATGAGGTAGTGGTTCGCAGAGCAGAAGTCTCCGTTTACCTTGTTGTAAGCCGTCATGATCGACCACGGGTTGCTGTCGCGGGCCGCGATTTGGAAAGGCTGGAGGTGAATCTCGCGCAGGGCGCGCTCGGGAATCTTCTCGTCGATGAAGAAGCGGCGATTCTCCTGGTCGTTGGCGGCGTAGTGCTTCACACAGGCCCCAATGCCAGCAGCTTGGATCGTGTTGATGTACTGAGCGGCAAGCTTGCCCGTCAAGAAAGGGTCCTCGCTGCAAGCTTCAAAGTTGCGCCCGCCCAGAGGGGTCCTTGGGATGCAAACTGGATGTATCGAGTATCAGTGCTATGTTCGACCGACCCTAGCGGCAGATAACAGAGCCGCACTCACCAGTCTGTCCTAGCAGAACATCAACTCCCTTGCTCTTGGCTTCTGCTATCAAGACTTGCGATACGTCCTCGATTACTTGCTTGTCCCAGGTAGCAGCAAGTGACACGCTGTTTGACTCGTCAGTCTAACGTAAATGACAATAATGAGGCCACATTTCATGTTCAGAACACTAACCCGGATGGTAATGAAGCTGCAGTCACTCCATCGACGAAGATTCCCCCGCGCACGCCAGTTGGTCCATCGGAAGTCTTGATTCTGGAGATGCCCAGCCTAGGGATGGGATTCGTGCGCCAGAGGTCTTCTCCAGTCAAAAGAAAAATCTTCTCTTCCAGTGTTATCTGTTTGAACTTCTCGTCCGCAAAACCTTTTGCATCTTGAGAGGTAGTCACAGCGACCTTTGAAAGATCATGATCCCGACCATGTCTCTCGGCGTCGAGCATGTTGAGAGTGAGCCAAATCAAGAGCCGAGTAAATCCGCGTGAAGAACACGGAAGAGTCGTGAAATACTCTCGAAGGAAAGACGTGCATACTGCTTCTTTTGAATGATCTTGAGACCGGAGGCAAGACGACAAACCGAGACTTCAGGCATACCCGCCCGCAACATGTGTTCGTGACCCATCGTTCAACTTCAGTGTGGCTATCGGCGCCGGTCCGCATCTCCCCGCCTGGTTTTCTTAACCTGGCAGCAACAAATCCGGACCGCACTTGAATAGATTCAACTAGCCAATTGGATCATGAGCAAGACTGCAGTTGCAGTGGCGGAACTTGCATGAAGCCCCCACAATACGATCACCGCCGCCGGAGGCAGTCCGTTTCTCCCCGCTCGTCCTCTGCAATTACCACATTGGGCTACGCCGCGCTCGCCCAGGGTGTTGCCAAGACCTGGGGAAGCCCTCCCCCGCAGATGTCATCCGGGGCTTGGGGAGGAGAACATGGCTAGAATCGCACCATGTAGCCGGGTCTAACGCCATGTCGTAAGTCTTGAAGTACGGCTTGGTGAGATTCCAGAACCAGACATCTGGAGGTGTGCGCTTGTGTCTTCCACAACATCATTCAGAGGGGCGCATACAAATAGGCCCAACATGTTGAACCGCATAGCTTAGAGTTCATGATCCTTAGATCTCATCTCCTCGTGTTTCCCGTCCCTTGCCCATGTTTGATCAGACGATGGATTCCAACTCTAACCCTACCACATTCGGAACCGTGGCAGAGATCCTCGCGTCAGATTCTCGGCCTGCGCTCTCTTCCCTCACGCCCTCCCTCATCCGTCTCTATGCCATCCTTGCGCCAGCTTGCCTCGTTGTCTGCGCGACTAACGGCTACGACGGCTCAGTCTTGACCGGCCTCCAGGGCGTAGCCGCCTGGAACCATGAGTTCGGGAGTCCCAAAGGAGCTCTCTTGGGGATCACCAGCGCAGCTTACCCTCTCGGCGCAATTCTCTCAACTCCCTTCTCAGCCATGATCTCCGACCGTTTCGTGCGGAAATGGTCTATCCTTAGCGGCGGTAGTATCATGATCATCGGTGTGCTGATACAGTACCTCAGCCACTCCATCGGGCTCTTCATCGGGGGACGTATCGTCGTCGGGTTCGGCATCACCATGGCCCTCGCCGCCGCCCCGGTGCTGATATCAGAGCTCGCACATCCCCGACACCGCGTCCTCTTCAGTTCGCTGTGCAACACCAGCTTCTATCTTGGCGCCCTGACTGCTGGATGGATAACCTTTGGCAGCTATCGCATCCCAGGCTCTTGGTGCGTAATCAAGATGGGAGTTGTCAGCGGCTGCTAACTTGAGGAAAATGGCAAGGCGTCTGCCGACTATGCTTCAAGCTATTCCGGCCTGTATACAGATGATCTTTGTCTGGTTTCTGGATGAGTCCACTCGTTGGCTGTGCTACAAAGACCGCGAAGAAGAAGCCTTCAACATCCTCGTCAAGCACCATGGCGGCGGCGACCCAAACGACCCCCTTCGTTCTCGCGCAATTCCACGAGATGAAAGTCGCACTGCAGCTGGAGAAGCAAGTGCAAGACGCGGGCCCCAAGCTGTTCCTCAAAACACCAGCCAACCGTAAGCGGCTGCTCATTCTCGTGACGCTTGCTGTTGCTGGTCAATGGTCCGGGAATGGGTTAGTCAGTTACTACTTAACTCGCATCTTCAGCAGCATTGGCATCACAGGTCAGCGGGAGCAGACTTTGCTCAACGGAGTCATCAGTACGGTGAACTACGCAACCGCTCTTATGGCGGCGGGGTTGTCGACGAAGCTCGGCCGGCGGTGGATGTTCGTCGGCGGCGGAGTTGCCATGTGGCTGACCTTTTCGTCACTCACCGCTAGTATTGCCGTCTACAACACCAAAGGGACAACAGCTTCGAGCCAAGCTGCGTTGGCGTTCATCTTCATATACTACGCGGCATTCAACCTGTGTCTGAACCCGCTTCTCTTCCTCTACCCGACGGAGATCCTGCCGTTCAGGTTGCGGGCGATGGGGTTGAGCATTCTTGTATTCGCCAATAAGGCGGCGTCGTTCCTGAACCAGTTTGTCAACCCGATTGGGATGAAGTCTCTGAGTTGGAAGTACTACCTTTTCTATGTTGGATGGCTACTGGTCGAGATCGCGGTGTTCTACTTTCTGTATCCGGAGACTAAGGGGTACAGCCTGGAACGCATGCAGGAGGTCTTTGGGGAGGAGATCAAAGATGACGGGCCCGAGGAGAAGGCCTCCATCATCAACGAGATGACAGCAGTAGAGCACAAGGAGTGAAGAAAATCCATACTTTGAAACATGGCCACTAGAAGGATCAACGGCAACTCACTTAAGCTCCAAAAGCAAAACTAAGTGTAGTCGCGTCCCTGGATAATACACACGGTCTTCAAAAACAGGACACTCTCTTCAATCCGCAGCTAGCAGGCAACACTAAGTTGTCCGTTGAGAGACTCACTGAGAAGATGCAAGCCAAAAAATGAAAGGGACGAGACTCGAACTCGCGCGGGTTGCCCCACCAGGAAACAGATGTTAAGCTGACCTTAACCTGGCGCCATAACCAACTCGGCCACCCTTCCGTTGGTGATCTTGGGAATGACTCCCGAGATCGGATGTGGATGCCGGAATTGACCGGGGAAGATGTTCATATGCCGGCGTTGTATGGTGTGGGAGAGGCTTAGGGCTTCGGCTACGGAGGGGGGAGGCTTTGCGGATGGGATCCACGCACTTGGGAGAGATCCACTGACTGACTGAGTCGGCACAAGCTGGGCTCCCTCCGGGTTTGTGGAGCATAGGAAGTCAAGCGCGATCAATTCAGCGGGTGGCGAGGGCATACGAGTCTTGGTTGGATTTGACACGAGGTCATCACAAGGTTCAGTTTGACGGGAGCTGAAGTTGACATGGCAGAAAAACATTCGACACTCAGATACTGAGGGACGGGCGCCGGTAGATGCATATACTAGAAAGCACACCTCATACATGCAACTACGGGGCGATCGTCAAAGCCTTCGTCCGAACCAACAAGTTGCGATGAACACACCCAAACCTTAGAACTGTGATTGTAACTCGAATGATCAGTGGCTGAGCAGACCCCCAAAACCAACAGAGAATCACCAGTGTCAAAGAAAGCGTCGGCCAAAACACAAAACGGTTTGGGGCTTGAGGCGTTCTCAAAGCCGTTGAAACGGTGCCGCAGCTGCTGAAAGACTAACTACCTACTCGAACACCTGAAAGCACGTTGCCATCACCATAAAAACGCCTCTAACCCGACCCGGCCTTTTGCGTGTGCTTTCGCAGCCGGGCGCGGGAAGCCATCCCGGGAACGGGACCGATCAACGGGCGCGGCCTTGGCAGAAACTCAATGCATCGTCATTCTCTTCCCCCCATCTTCCCCAACACTTAGGTCGGGAAATAATCATATCAGCATGTGAGGCGGGGGAGATATCCGTACACGGCATGCACGTTGCATCTGTTCATCTCCAAGTCACCCGTGCATAAACGAGAAAAAAACAAGTGCTCGGCACCGCATCCCGGGAGGAGGTAAACAAATCCGGCCCAAATCTCCAGCCAGGCTCGCCAAATAGGGAAACGAAAAAAGAAGCATTTAAGATTAAATATTGGAACTGGGAAAGAAGGGCCCGGGCCAGACGCAACGAATGAATAACCCGACAGCACTGCCTCACTCGCCAAAGATTCAATCTTTCTTTGCTTCCAAGCGAGAGAAAAGCCAAGTTTATTCCTTTCTATCCCATGTCGATGAACGGCATCAGGGGAAAGGGAGGTGAGGGTCAATGCCTAGCCGAACGCGTGTTCCCCACTGCTTCCAGCCGTGCCGTTGGCACTCTAGAACCAAGTTTTTGTTGGCCTTGGGTGCGCTTGGCTCTGAAGATGGTTTAGCTCCAGGTACGACGACGGCGTGATTCGCTGCGTGCCTGACACGGGGGGCAAAGAGCGCATGGAAATGTAAACAGTGCATTGCGCCATCTCGTCGTCGCGTTATCTACTGCGGAGTATGACTTCGAGATTGAAGCGCGACCAGAACATAGAACTATGATGATGACGATTGAAAAGACAGTGGTATGAATCAATTCAAACAATGACGCACCAAGAGGTCAATGTTGTTCGCGCCGGCGTTGGTGGTGAGGCGCGCCAACACGAACAAAAAAATCCAATGATTTACCAACACCGTTCTAAAATTAGCTCAGCCTCCTCGAAGAGTCGACCAGAAAAAAAGAGAAAGGCACCACCTGCGCCCGGATTTGTGGGCGTGTCTTCACTGGGTTCCCTGTTTCCCTGCAGCGCTCTTGGAGGAAAGACGGCCAATACGAAATGGACGGGCCGCCGCCAGTGGTCCAGAACTTGGATCGGACTCGACCTTGGGCCCTGGGAGGTGGGGAGAGATCAGCACACCTCATTTCCGACTCTGGGGGATTCCTGCCGCCCAATGGGAACGCAGATCTGGGTCTGACCCTCTCTCAGTCGCCGGCGCTCACCGAGTCAGGAGCTTAGACACACCAGGCTGTGGTGGTTCATCATGTTACACGGCCTGTTCGGTGTGAGACAATGTCATACGGGTCGCCGTCAGCTTACGGTCAAGTCACTGGTTCGCGAGGCATGTGGGATGTCTTTGATGATGGTTTGAATGATTAATCACATTTCCTTCAGTCTATCCGCAGTCTATCCACGATTATGATACCAGAATGCACACATGTCCAGTGTGTGAGTCAAAATACACGCTGCTATTCCCTCATGTGCTGCTCAAACTTTTTACACCGAAATGGCTGCTGCTACTCCCCACCTTTAGTAGAGGAAGGCAATGGCGCCGGCGATGACGGCCAGGGCACCGGTGGAGAGGACCTTGACAGTGGTAGCACCGGAGCCAACGGCGGAAGCGGAGCTGCCAGCGCCAGTGGTGGTGGAAGAGCCGGAGCCGGAGCCGCTGCCAGAGCCGGAGCCAGAGCCAGAGCTGGCGGTGCCGCTGGGGGAGGCAGTGGAGACGGTGGTGTTACCGCCGGATCCAGAAGAGCCAGAGCCAGAGCCAGAGCCAGAAGTGCCGTTGCCGGGCTTAAGGGTAGCGGTGGAGGAGGCAGTGCCGGTGGTGGTCTCGGTGGGGGTGTCGAAGGTGGTAGGGCAGGTGAGGTTGAAGAGGGGCTTGGTGGACAGGTCCTTGGTGATGGCGAACTTCATGGTGTTGTCGGGGTTGGAGTCACGGAGGTTGTACCAGAAGGTAGGGGTCTTGCCGAAGAGCTGGCGGCAGCCGATCTCGTCCCAGTAGGTCTTGGCGTTCTGAGCAGAGGGAACAGCCTCGTCCCAGGTCTCACCAGTGACGGGCCAGCCGGTCTCAGTAACCCAGACGGGCTTGCCAGCGGCAGTGGCGATGGTGGCCTTGTAGGCCTTGTCGAAGAGCTTGCCAGCGTTCTCGATGCTGTTGCCCTTGTCGTTCTCGTAGTAGGGGTACTCATCGACACCGACCCAGTCAATGGCGTCGAGGACTGGCTTGTTGGTGGCGTTTCCCCAGACGTCCCAGGTGTCGACGTGGCCGATGGAGACCTTGGACAGAGGAGTGTCCTTGAAGGCGGTCTTGAAGTCGTTGATGAAGCCGACAATGGTCTTGGGGTCGGCACCGACACCAGACTTGTTCTTGACACCGGTGACGGAGTTGCGGTACAGGTCCTCAGAGCCGATGGAGGCACCGATGATGAGGTCGGTCAGCTTGGTGCCGTACTTGGTGACGGCGGTCTTGAGGGCGTTGATCTCCTTGTCGATGTTGTCGGTGCCGGAGGTCCAGACACCGAGGAGGATCTTGGTGTTGGTGTTGATGGCAGCCTCGAAGGCCTCGATGGGGTCCTCGGTGGAGTAGGCCTGGATGTTGGTGTAGAGACGGACGGCGTTGAAGTCGCCGGGGGCACCCTCGAGGTTCTGGGCGGTCTTGAACTCGGCCTCGAAGTCGGCCTTGAACTTGGCAGAGCGGTCGGCCTTGGTGGCACCAGAGTTGAAGCCAAGGTAGTTCTCGGCGGCAGCGGTGGCCGCGAGGGCGCTGATGGCGACGGCAGAAACGGAGGCCTTCATTTTGATGATGTGTGATTATGCGTGTGTAACTGGGAAAGAATAATCGCTCTCGTGTCGGTCGGGAGGTATCGTAAGACGGATAGGCAGCAAGAGAAATCCCAGAGGCTGTTTATTAAGGCTGGGAGATGCTGTGGTTGGTCGGGGACTGTTTGGCTGTGACTAAAACAAATAATAAAGAGTGTGGAATAGTTGGGTTTGTTGTCGAGGACCAAAAAGAATGACTGGCAAAGGGAAGGAGGTGCCAAAGAAGGTGTCGACGACGAGTGGGACAAGGCCGGGTATTAAACACACGAAGGAATTCCGGAGTCCGAGTGAGGGTGGAGCGTGGTGAATGAAGATGGAAGGGGAAGGGGAAGGGGAAAACAATGACGGCCGTCGTATTGGCCTTGGACGTCACGAAATTAAGGAGGTCCCCGGCTCAGGGGGGGAGCGTGCGGGGATCACGTGAAGTGACTGGACCAGGCCTCCGCTGAACAATGCCCGCTGCAGACACTGGACAGCAGGAAGGACCGCACCACTGCTGGACCACCTGCTGGAACACCTAAGGCAGGTAGGTACCTCGTACACAACCCGGGAAGGAACACTGGAGAACCAAGTTTGTTTTCCGGGGCTTGTGGACGAGGGCTGAAAAGTCGCCCAGCTGGGGCCTGGCGCGCGCTGGAGCCACTCCACTTGTGCTGGAAGATCAGCCAAGGCGGTGAATGCAACCACTGACGCAGGGAAACAGACGCTGCCGCTATGGATTGCATTGACTCGCTGTTATTCACTCTCGCGTCGTCGTGCGTTTCGTTGTGCATCTGTCATCCCATCTTGTTTGCTTTTCCTCCCACGTCGCGTCGACTCACGGCACTTGATGACCTGTGCCTGTGCCGATGCCACCCAGATGCCAGACGTGCATCTCAAAACTCATCCAATCTTCCTTCAAATTCATGGCTCGGACGGGAGTGGCGGAGGAGGCGCTTGGCTAATTCCCAGCGGCATTCCACTCACCACCTCCAACGGCCCTGAGCCTTGCCGATGATTCTTACACAAGTTGAAACGTCGCGACATCCAACTGCAAATTGACTAGCCTTGTTCCAGTCCAAGTCATCCGTCTCTCTGTCTTGAGTCGTGGCTTTGGGCGTTGATGCTGTTGCGTGTCTGCTATTCCATCAGGCTCTGTCATAACATGTATATCTATGTATGCATCTATCGTTATCTCTTAAGTGCATACGCACAGCCCCTGAGCAAGTTCCCCGTCGGGCAATGCAATCCATGGATGTTCATTGGTAACAATCACCTCAACCAAGCCTTGTCATGTTTTCCAAGCCTCTCTTTTCCATGAGTCTGCACCTTGGCTTTGTGACTACCTTTGACCCCAAAAATAAGCATGGCGCAGCGGCTGTCCTCCCACCGGCAACTGACTGGCCGGCTGCCTCCGCTCCGGGTACCGGCGAATGGCCGTCCTAGTCTCCCGCACGCACGGGGCCGAGTCGGTGCCCGCGGACGACACGGCCGAGACGCGGGGCTTTCCACACAGCTCAGGAGCAACTTGGAACGCTGTTCAATCAGATTCTGCATTCTCAGTTCTGCACTACAGTCCTACTTCAGTTTTATCTCTTGATACCCCACTCCCTCCCAAGCAATGACATGCTTGAACTGGGCTAGTCCAACTCGCTGGTAAAAGCCATTCCCAACGTGAGTGACCACGAGACCAACGCCCAACTCCCTGAGATCTCTCATGGCCACTCCTAGAAACAGAACTTGTGTTTCTTTGTCTCGTAATTCGTCCCTAAACGCTTTCTCATGCAAGTCAGGGAATTCGTCGCATCCGCCTGAAATGACATCGCCGTCCTCGTCGACTTCATTTTGACCAACGTCATCCGCATTGAGCACGCGGCAGGTGAGTATCACATGTCTTGGGCTCCTCGTCCCAAGTGTATCCCATCCCTTGACCTTCGCATCCCTCTTTATGAACCTCTCGGTGTACATCACTTGCCGACTCAGCGATGCCCAAGACCAGCTTGGTGCTCGACCTGATCTTTGTAGTTCCTCCTCTTCCGTCCCTATGCCCTTGGGCTTATACCAAGCAAGCAGCTCAACAAACCACTTCTCCCACAGCCCAAAGTAATCACTGTCCTCCCACAAGACCTCGAGCTCCCTCGTGATACCCCGCAATGCATCCAGCCTATCATCAGCCTTCGTCAACAAGCGCCGAGTATACTGCTCGACAACAGTTTTCCACAAGTACAGTTTCTCCCCATCGTCATGACCGTAAAGCCCAGCGTTGTCCTCCTTGAAGCTGGTCCACGGTAAGCCCTCCAGCGGCTGCAAATACTCCAACGCCTCATCTCCCCCTACAACACTCTGCAACTCAAGCTCTTTACACTGCCAAAGGAGTTCATACTCCGAAAATATCAGCAACCTCGACGAGAGCATGTACTCTTGGAGCACCCATCCACGCTTGTCCAGTATGTGCTTTGGCTCATAGGGCCCCGATCGAAGATACACCGTCCCCTTGCCCGTCGCTCCATTCACAACCACCCGCTCATCGGGGAGATACTCCCCCGTCTGCTTTAAGAACCCATCCTTAGCCCTCTGAGCTGTCCCCGCTGCAATGGTGATGGCGGCGTTCTTGTAAATTGTGGCCATTTTCCCAATCTCTTTCTGCTGGTCTTTTTCACAATCTTGAATGATGCAGAAAGCGTCCACCCAGAGGTATCTGAAGCCAAGCATCCTCGTGACCTCAACCGCGTCCTTTACCGACTGCTGCAGGGTCTCTACTTGTATGCCGTTCTCCTTGGACATGTCTTTCAGGGTCCGCATACGCAAACATACTTCCTGTTCACCGCCCCAGCAGTAGCTCAATGCGAGGTACTCTCCATGTTCATCCGCATCATTAATAAACAATCGAAGATAAGAATCGCCTACAGAGCCAACGTCGAGAACGCGGGAGGGAAGGACGGTGTCGCGAGCGAACTTGCACGCTTTATGTGCCCTTTTGCATTGTTCGTGATGCCGTTTGGCCTTGATGAGAACCTTCTTCGTCTTGACATTCCTTCTAAGGGGACGGCGAGGGATCAGTCTTGCCATGGGATCATCTTCAAAAGCTGTCAGTATATGAAAGTACATAAATCTGCAATCAACAGAAACACCCCTACCTTGTTTGGCGTAGGGGTAAACACGTATCACGATCTGGTCTATGTCTGTTATGAAAAAACCCTCCAAAACGTGAAAGGCCGGGCAAACCATGTTTCCGGCCTTATCCACGGCTTGCCGATTTCGAAAGGTCAACGGTGTATCGCCAGGCCATTTCGCATCCACTTTCTCCTCGATAGTCCGGGCGATCAAGAAGCACGATGGGCAGCCCGCCCCGTCATTGATCGCGTGAGTTATCTCAGAGAGGTTGAAGTGACGAAAGCCGGTTGGGGAATTGAGTGCCCTCAGACCTTCTTGCGAGAACATGAGACTGCATTTGGCGCAGCCTATATCGAAGTCCAGATCATCCCCGCGAACCTTTGTCCAAGGTGGGAGATCCTCATCGTCGGACTGCGTCACCGACAGACGCCGGCGACTATTCGTCCTATGAGTAAGAATGGTTGTAGTGGTAGTGGTGGGGCTCATGATTTACAACGTAAGATGATGGTTGAGAGTGGTATCGCGACCAGACTGGAGTATCTCAACCTGGAGTATCACCTAAATTCGCTTGAATTGAGACGCGACCTGCAAAACACCCAGAAGAAATTCCCGATTACAACGAGAGAGCCGCCGAGTGCGCCATCGAGTCTGCCCTGCACTTATGTGGTATTCCCCCAAGGGCAACGGCTGGCCGAGGCCCATGTGGCTGAGTCTGCCTGCAGGAAGGCAACCAGGCTAGCATGCACGAATGGCAAATTAGGGCGGTTATTCAGGCAGCCGCTGCGACCATCGACAAGGGACTTATGCACTTGGAGTTGAGCACCAACAAATGAATTTCGCATTGTTTCGTCTGTCATCTAGAAGAAATGGTGCACTTGACGAACCCCAAACGGCCCAGGGGACAAGATGTTGAGAAGGGAGAAGAGAAACAAATTAATTGTATCAGGGTATTATCAAAAGAGTCTAAGATCAACTCATAAACTCGTCGAAATCATCAAAGCACAAGACAGCCTCACAGCGTCGCATGAGCGCGCTGCCATTTGTAACGGAGGACAATAACCGCCCAAAACCAAACGCCCCACCAACCGTCATCCACATCTAGTCAATTGACTCGTCCATTTGTTCTGCGGGATCGTCGTCCTTCGCGAACCCGATGGCAGCAAGTTTCTTCTTCACGCTTTGTTGAGAACTCATTTCCTGGAGCGATCCGTCAGCACATGTTGTCTTGGGGACCGCGGTGAGAAGATACATACCACCTCGACGGTGTCCTTAATGACATATCTGGTTACGAGGACCTTCTGGCCCTGACCGAAACGAATGGCGCGGGCAATCGCTTGATTCTCGACGCTCGGGTTCCACTGCAGCTCGACGATGAAGACGCGATTTGCGCAGGTGAGATTTAGGCTAGGAAGCCTCATATTAGAAGTGCTTTTAAACCGTTGGAATGAAGGACATACCCGAAAGCACCAGTGCCGGTTGTCATTATGAGAACCCTGTTGTCATCATTCTCTGCAAAATTGCCAAGCATATCCTGTCTTTGACGAAGGGAGCAGTCGCCGTCGATCCGGAGGTAGGGCACTTGTGCCTTTTCGAGGTGTTGGGCTACGAGGTGTAGAGTTCTCGTCCAGCATGAGAAGATAATGCTGAGATCCGTTAGTGAATGTGCTGAAGAGATGGTCTCAAGCACTTCATCACCTACCTCTTGGTTTCATTCAGGTTGACTTTGACATCCTCAATCAAAGCCTTCATCTTTGTGGAGTGCCCCGTCGCGTTGAAGTAAACCTCGTCATCCCTCTGGGAAGAGGGGATCTGAGCCGGGGCGTCGACCATCTCCACGTCTCCTGAACCCCCAGGCCCATCAACCCTCACAACCGGAACACCAGAAGGCAGCGCACGCTGCGCCCTGGCAGACCTCATCCAGTTCTCACACACAGGGCAGTGTCTCGCTTGCGGGCTTATCGCGCCGGCCGAATAATCAGACTGATCGAGGCACTCCGAACAGAAGACGTGCGCGCACTGTTCCTCGAACTCGTTCCGCAGCCTGCTGGATCCCAGAATCGGCATCGGCTGGTGGCAACCGTCGCAAGTGATCTCCGCATTCTGGCCCAGCGCGCTGACGACAGCCTCCCGTTCGTCGAGTCGGTACGCCCGACGGTGCCAGGAGAAGGGCTTCTGGTACGTCCCGTGGTTGCATAGGATCCGTAGCTGGAGGTTCGCCTGGAATAGCCCGAACTTTGAGCTCTTCTCCACCTCTCCAACCTTTTGCTTGATCGTCCGCATCAGGATCTCCTTCGTCTTGTCGTACTGATCACGCTCTCTCGTGCTGAAAACCAGCTCCTTGGTGACTTCCTCGAGACCAGGGAGCTCCAGGAGCTCTTTCGTCCGGCGCAGGCAGAGGGACTCAAGGAGCGTGATCAGCCGCCCCTTGACCTTTTCCGTGTTTTCCTCGCTCTGCTCAAACGGCAGCTCGATGTATCGCCGGAACTTGGCGGGCTCGTCAAATGGCTTGGCGCGAATGAAGGCGAAGAGGGCACCAATGTCCGAGAGCTTGTTCTGTATGGGCGTTCCGGTGAGGCACCAACGGGAATTGGCGTGTAGATCTCGGCAGGCATGGTAGAATGTCGTCGCGGGGCGGCGAATGATGTGGGCCTCGTCGAGGACAACGCGGTACCAGCCAATCTTGTGAAGCAGAGAGGACTTCTTTTCGAACTCTGCCGAGAGGGTGTTGTAAGTTGTGACAACGATGTGGGAATTTTTGATGTTGTCAATGTCTTTCTCGCGGCCAGGTCCGTGGTACTTGATGGTTTTCAGTTTATCTTTGACGTGTCTGTTGCTCGTCAGCATTGCCCTACGATATCTTGGTACGTTGACTTACTTGTTTATCTCGTTGGTCCAGTTGTAAATGAGGACTGCAAATGTCAGCATTCGTTAAAATATAACCATGCATACGGTCACCTACGAGCAGATGACACGACTACTAATGTCGAACCAGAGTAGCTAATGTCCTTGAGCTTGTCGTCGTTGCTGTTCTCCTGCACTGCCCACTCTTGGCCCGTCTGAGCAGTATTGACAATGAGAGAAAGGATAGACAGGGACTTGCCCATGCCCATTTCGTCGGCCAAAATACCCCCACCTCGCTCCTCTGGCCTCGTACGTTGCTTGACGTTAGTGATCTTGTGACGGTACCTGGGTAAGGTATGTTAGTGCAATGCATGTAGTACGTGAGAGGGGTGCGAATGTACCAATCACTTCCGTCAACCTTGACCGGCTGCCAAAGGCGATAGGAGTCGTCAATTTCACCAGACTCCCTCTGCAACATGAACCCGAGTGCCTCTTTCTGATGTCTAGTGGGGGTTAGTAAAAATGGGCTCACGAGTCTCGTTGAGTGATGTACTCACATCAGAAGTTGGCTGTTGAGTCCCTCGCCACCATCTACCTTGTCGAGGTACCTGAGGTCCCTGTTCTTGTCCAGAGATTGGTAAACTTCCATCATCATCTTTCTCAAAGTGTCTTCTCTTGGCTGCCTCTTTGCCGGTCCGCCGCTATTCACCGGCCTCACCACGTTGTCGGCCGTAACCTCAACCCCATCAAGCCGAAGCACGTGTGGATTGTCGTAATCCACGTCCTTCCTCGGATGTGCTGGCTTCTGCAACCAAAGCTTCCCCTCTGACAACTTGTCGCCAACTTCGTGCGCAGCTCCTCTAGGTCCGTAGACGTTGATGTCGACCTTGACCATCGCTTCAACAGGCTTTTTGGCGCGGCCAATGGTTTCTCGGAGGGCGATAGTCGGCGCGATGGGTTCGAACTCGACGTCGGTTCGGGCCAGCAGCGGTTGGAGAGTCTTGCCGGGAGCAGTGCGCAGGTAACCGAAATCTGTGTTTTCCTTGTCTCTGAAGGCGAGGAGGACATGATCCTGTGAGTCTGAAAGGGCGAAGCGTTGGTACTGTGTCTTTCCTGAGGTCATTGCTGCTTGGTGGGCGGCAAGGAGCTTTGAATCGGTGATCGCCATGTCCCCAATCAACTTGACGTCGACATTGTAGAGCTGTTGTTGTGAGTTGACATTCATAGAACAAGGGTGAGGGGGAGGCGAGAATGGATGAAGTATGAAACGGTTAGCATACCATCCCGTAGCAGACTTTGTCAATTTCTTCATCCCCAGCCGATGAACATGAATCTGAGCCAGTGACGATAGATTCGGGGTCCATAGAAGGGGAATGAGTGGCAGGCATAGAGTCTGCTGATGACCCTGAGCCTGAAGGTGACGGATGGGATACATAAGATCCACCAGGGGAGGCTATCGTCGTCATTTGCTGCTGGCCCCATGTTTCAAGCTCGAAATTCAGATCATATGGCGTGTCTTCGGTACCGAGATTCAGGTTCAGATTCAGATTTCCCAGCTGATCAGTGGTGTCGAACTTTGAGTTTTCGTAGTTGAAAAGGATGTTGTTGAAAACATCGCCCAGAGACGAGTGGTCCTCGAGAACGGGGGTTTCCTGTGGGTATTCCATGCCCACCCCCTGGAACTGGGTTTGGCGAGGATAGTTTCCCGTGTAGTCGTCGGCGCTCTGGTACGAAGACCCTGAAATGGAGCCGTGAGGGGACATGAACGACGGGTCAGGGTATTGGCTATGACCATCGTCGTCTACATCATTCAGAAGACGCTTAAGTGACATGTTGGTTGACGGGCTTGACGTTGATGTTGACGGGAATGCCTGTCCCGTGTGTTGGAGGGTGGTGTTCATGATTTCGTAAAAGTCCTCGCAACCAGTGCAGAAGAGACCATAACCAGATGATTGGGGGAATTCCAATTCAGTCAATCAATCAGGCTCGCGGCCTGAATAAGAGGCCGGGCGAACCACTTTTGAGCACATGATGGTCGGTGACGTGAGGCATCGAAGGCGGCTGTTTGCTGTGCATTTCTGGCGCGTCCTCAACGGTCTCGTGAGGCGCAGTGCAGACGATGGTTTGCGTAGTGCATCGTGCACTCCGAAGAACGCTGAGCTGTTCGCTCCCCGTCCCATAACGCCTCCCCCGCCGTCCCGTCCGCCAGGAACAGGAACCTAACGTAATGCATGGGAAGGGATGAAGGGATGGGGGGGACAGCCCAGCGGGCATTAGCGGGCTTCGGGCTCGTGCGAACCACGAACCAACGGTACGCATGGTGGTCCGCAGGGCTCCGTACTGGCGTAATGGACACCGGCACTCACAGTCTCCCGCCTGGGGGGCTGGTGTTTTTTCCACTTTACCAGCCCTGGAGCAGCAGCAAGTCAACGTGTGTGTCCTGTGCTGTGCTTCGGGTTGTTTGTGTGCGTGCCTCCACTGCTTGCACTGCCTCCCCGAGGAGCCGCAGCGGGACCACGGCCACATCTCTACCCCTGTCTGTCTGCTCTCACCGTCGGGACCTCCTAGGGGCTCCGCCACAGCACCGTAGGAGGGCTCTCCAAGTTCCAGCACTACTGCGTATGCTGCCGCAGTGCCAGCGGTGGCCTCTCGGTGTCCCCCGACCGGGGAATCAAGAGCCTCAATGACGAGGGGTCTGTTCCCACTTGCCGATGCTTGTTTCTCTTGGAATGCTCGGAGAGGGCTCCGATCATGTTGGGGAAGATGACGTATGGTTTAGACCTCGTGCTGCTTTCTTTCATCTATCTTTCTCCGAGGATTCGTAAGGCAAGTTGTTGTATCTACGGTGAGTACCGATGAGAGACAAGATGAAGAGACATAGAGACATGGAGACAGACACAGACACAGACACAGACACAGACCCCTGTCTATTGACTCGGCGGTCACTAAGAAATCCAAGACACAAAACTGCCTGACAGCTTCAGAAAAGTACACTGCAGAAAGGGGTGGGATATCACCCCTCACGCATCTCCAATCCCCAAAGAGATCTCAAATGCCCCTCATAAGGCTTCATAAGGCGTCCGGCGGGGGAGGGGTCGCGAGGTGGCCGGAGCAGCCCGCGCGTCTGCGCGTCCCCAAATGCCATGCTGCTGCTTGTGACTGCTGGACATGGGTGAAGCATAATGCAGCCCTTTCACCAGTCTCCAGCACGCAGCCCCATTCAGGGTTGTGCGGGTTCTATTCGACTCAATGCCAAAGAAGTGGCTTGTGTGGACCGCAAGACATCATCAGCGCAGAGAATACGTGGAAAGATGGAGAGCGAGCTCGCGGTGGCAGTGCAGTTCGGCTGCCTAGCGCCTCATGCCACCCCTGCCGATTGATGTGTCTTTTCTTAACCCCTGTCTCTCAGGCGGGCCAGCGACATCATCAACACCAATGGGCCACCTCGTGTCCTCGACGTTGAGCTGACAGGGGTTGCTCAGACGGGGTAACATTTCGGGATAGTACCGCCTGACTGGCTGCCTCTCTCGGTCTCTTTTCGAGAAACGCATCAGCCTCAATGATGTCGACTGCTCGGATGGCCCCGTTGTGCCGGATTGCGGATTTCTCAGGACCCTTTCTTTCCAGCCCAGTCTCGTCTAGTTTCCTTCTTTCATTGCTTTCCTTCTTGGATTCTGCAATGTCTCCCCGCTAGCTCTTTGTTGTGTTGGCTGGTGAACTCAACCGAGACCATTGAACCCACAGCGGCGGCATTGGTGTAATCCACGGGCCCCGAGTCAGCAAACACCCCCGGAATCCCACCGGCGAAAACAGCCATGTCCAACGGCCCCGGATCCGGCACCCTCCGCTTCGGAGCGGAGGCCGACTCTCTGGCAAAGGCTGCCAGAAAGTTCAAGGCAATTCTCAACCCCAAAGATGCCGAGGATTTTGAAGAAAGCAGGAAGAAAGTCGTTTGTGAAGAGCTCAATCTCCTGCAGACCCAGCAACAGGCCACGAGGAACCTGATGAACATGAAGAGACTACAGAGGTTTCTTGATGGGATGGGTGACCTGCAAACTGTACTGGAGAAGTTGGATTTTCAAGCAGTGGACAGTATCATGGCATGCATCTGGGGCCCTATAAGATTCTTCTTCAAGGTGTGTCACATCCATCGTGTCCCTTTGCTACTGTCACATTGACACGTTGTACTTAGACAACCAGCCTCAACGAAAGGGCTTTTGACCAAATCCTTGACGTCTATCACCGCCTTGGTCTCCACATTTTGCGCTTTCAGGAGCATTTGCGCGTTTTTCAGACATCTCAAGAAAGCATCAAGTGCCTGGCGCGCACTTACAAAGATATCCTCAAGTTCCATGCAGCAACCTACAGACTCTTCTCTCTCCGAAGCCAACGTATGCTACTCACTAAAACCCCCCCTTCGAGCTGTCTTGCAAATCTAACCTATTCGGTCAACAGTATGGACAAAGCTCCACAGAGCAACATGGAAAGACCTGGACCCCAAGTTCGATTACCTATCGAAGACTCTCAAGCTCCACGCCAAGCACATAGACGACCATGGGTCATACCTTCGGCGCATGGACTCAGGCTTTGGCGACCCGAGGACCAATTCCAACCGTAGCCGTAACACCGGGTTCCAATTTTACGAAGGGGCCTACCAAGATTTACGAAGAGCCTTCAAAAAGGACGAAAAAGAGCGTAAACACAACCAGAAGGATAGAATCATAAAGTGGATCGCGGCCAAGGTCGACAAGCTTCACGGGCAATTCCAGAAAGACCGAAGCGTCTGCCCAGAGAATGGCGAATGGCTCTGGCGCCAACACGACGAAGTCTCCAATTGGATGCGAGAAGATATTCCCGAAGAGTCGACAATCTGGGTCCATGGTCCTCGGGGCATGGGCAAGTCCGTCCTCGCATCCCATATCGTGGACCGTTTGCGTGAACTCGCCATGGATGGCCGCGATGTGCCTTCCAAAGCACAAGTGTGTTATTTCTACTGTCAAGCAGACGAGTCTGAATGTAACAGCTACCTTGGCATCCTGCGGGGGATTTTGCACCAACTCGTCGAATCGGCCGAGGTCCCTGACGACGACAAATCTCCCGAGCAGAACATTGCAAACAAAAACCTAGCCATTCTCCCTCTCTGCGAAGACAAAATGACAAATTCGGGTGGCTCCACGCTTACAAACCCCGAAGTTGCGCAGTCTCTGATCGAAGTCTTCTTTGAGAACAACCTGCGCCAGTATGTCGTTATTGACGGGCTGGACGAATGCAAGATCAACGAGGAGATCAGCAAGGCCAACGCGGAGATCGCCCAGGCCGTTGGTTTCTTCACAAAGGCAGTCAACGTTTTTGATGATTTGAATCAGGGACAGCTACGGGTAATGTTCATGAGCCAGTCGAGTAAGGAAGTCCGCCGATATATGGAAAGAAGCATGGATAAGAACGGCCTGTCGCTAAAGTCAGCGGAGGTTGAGTTGAATGCCAAGGAGAACATGGAGGACATTCGAAGATACGTAAGAAGAATGCTGGCTCCGACAGATGATGGAACAAACACCTTCAACTTGTCCGAACGGGAGATACAGGAGATTGAAGACAAGATCTCAACCACGAGTGAAGGTATGTTTGAAATTGGGCAGCGGTGGGATGATGGCTAACGGGCGTGACAGGTCTATTTCTATACGCGCACCTCGCAATGAAGTTTCTACTGGAACAGGACACTAAAAAGGACCTTCTCGATAAGGTGAAACCAGGGGTGCTTCCAAGGGGCCTCAAGGACATGTACGTCTTCCTTTCCGCAGAAAGCTCCTCCCGGGAACTCACAACCGATACAACCATGCTTGAACAAATAGCTGACACCACTTCAGGTATTCCAAGTTACTAGGAGCCTTGGAAACTCGTCTCAAAGAGAAAGGAACCTGGCACCGCGCAAGGCAACTTTTTGGCTGGCTCATCTGCGCTCACCGGCCCCTCAAGTTGCACGAAATCCAAGCAATCCTCTGCTTCAACCCTGAAGAAGAGGTAGTTGACTTTGACCTCTACAAGCTCCGCGTCGGCGTCACCGATCTCTTGGGTTCTTTGGTGCAGGTCTTGCCGGGGGACAACATCCGCCTCATCCATTCCACGGCTAAGGAGTAAGTTGCCATATCACGACATTGCTGGCAGAACGCTAACAGCACCCCAGATACCTCGCCGATACCGAACACATTGACGCAAAGACCGTCCAATGCGAACTCGCAACCCTTTGCCTTCGCTACCTCTCTCTCCGCTGCTTCGTCGCCGACGACTACTTGGAATCCGAACGACGCGACCACATCCTCCACGGTTACTTCTCCTTCCAAGACTACGCAATGTCCCAATGGTACAAACATGTCATTAAGGTCATTGAAACTTGCCGCTCTACCTTCAATCCCAACAACTCCCAACTGCCGAATACGACAACTTCCTTCCACAAAGCCCTCGAAAAGTTCATATCCTCCCACAACAACGACCTCAAACCGCTAACCGAGCCCAATGCCCCTTCAGACCTCCCCCGCGAGCACATCGATACCTTCCAAGACCTTTCCTTCTACTCTCTGCTCCTCCGGCTTTGGAACCATATCTATATCCACCAAAACGGCTCTGTGGAAGAGCGAAACAAGGTTGGCATCGCCCGCCTCGAAGACGCCCTCAAATCCCATCGCGCCCTCATCGAAAAGGACTTCAAGCCGGACCGAAAGACACAAAACGACGACACGATGGAGGACTACTATGGCCCCAACCTCTTCAAATGCTCCCGCACCCTCTGCAAGTTCTTTTATCACGGCTTCAGCAACAAAAAAGACCGCGAGTCCCA